AGTTCTGCTCATGGCATAGCAGGTTTCTTCCTGTCATTCTGTAGGCTCTTCAGTCTCTGCAGTGCAGGTCTTAAGTGTGAAAACTGAGCAGGACAGAGGCAAATCTAACTCCTCACCGGAGTTTACTCCCTTTGGCTAAAAATGATGGCTGTGTGAGCCTATTCAGTTCCCTAAGACACCCTGTAGCAAAGGGTCCCTGATCCTGTCTGGTCACTGCCAAGGTAACACCCCCAGGAGCAGATATTATGATACAGCCATTCTATCAGAATCCTTCAATGGCTCCATGAAGATCAAATTCCTCGACATGTAAGCTTTCCTCCTCCTCAACTTTCCACACCTCTAAAGAACCTCTGGCTCCCCCTTTGCTTTGATCCGTTCTTCTCTATCTTCTGCTTTCACAGTCCATTCTGGGTGGCATTCTTTCAGTCACCATGACCATATCCATGTACAGATCTCTACAATGCTAACACATGTGACCCAAGAGTCTTCTCTCAATAGACTCACGTCAAGTGACCTGGGATAAACTGAGAACATTGCCCACCATCATGTAACAGCATTCTTGACTTAGCAACTACAGGCCCTGCTCAGGGATAGCAGCTCAGCACTACTCCAGCACCCCACCACCACCACTTCACCACCACCCCATCACCACCACACATTTTCTTCCTACTTTCACATATGACAAGGTGAGACAGGCTTAGTTTCATAGTGGTCTTCAGCCTCAGAACACAACTGATCAGCCTAAGGAAGACTTCCTGATTTGAGATGGGCCAATGAATCCCTTTCTTGGAATCTTAGACTCAAAACCAGGAATACTGGGGTTGTATCTCCAGAGTAAGTGGGTTGGGGGGATAATCCAGGTCTACAGAGAAATACAGGGAAGGGGCTGCTGACTTTGTGAGGAGTGGCAGTACCAGATGTAGGTTCTATGATACAGCACAATCTTCAAAGCAAATCCCCTGTCTATGGAAGAGCTGTGATTCTACCATATAGAAGCAACTGTCTTGACCACACCCAAATGATACTGGAAGCGGCTGGTGTTTATTATCTAGAAAAGACTGGCAGAGACAAGAGGAGACAAGAACTCAACACTGATGAGCTCCAGGCCCTTGGGAGTGATTCGATCTCAGATCATGTGGAAAGCCTCACCAGGATTCAGTTTCCTCACTACAACATGGAATGTGGACAAGATGTCAGTATGACAAGCAAAGGCATCTAAAGCTCCTAGAAGGCAGTGAGTTACCTGCCCAGGATGGCTGCACCAGCCATGTTCTGAGCTAAGTGCTCTGCTAACATTTAACAGTCCTATAGGAATCAGAGGTGGTGTTTCACAAAGGAGCAAAAACTAACATTGCCTTTCTATGATCACTAGGCCAAGGTGGCGTTTCTAGCATAAAATCCTCTAAACATCTTTTCATTAACTTCCCCCTACCATCTTCTGAAGCACCGGACACAGGCAGATCCAGGCCTGCTGAATATACTGTATTTCAAAGAGCTAGCACAGAATTATCTATCTGAGGTTTGGGATTTATCTAACCTTGAATTTCAGAATTCAGTCCAAGGGAATTCTGTTAGAAACTCTAGCACATCATGAGAATCTCTGTGAATTTGATGGGTCATAATAACTAGATTAAGATTAATCTTTTAAAGTCTTTGCAGCTCTGTAAGATTCTTTTTGTTTTTGTTTTTTGAGACAAGGTTTTTCTGTATAGTCTTGGCTGTCCTGGACTCACTTTGGAGACCAGGCTGGCCTCGAACTCACACAGATCCACCTGCCTTTGCCTCCACGAGTACTGGGATCACAGGTGTGTGCCACCACACCTGGCCCCTGTAAGATGAAACTGAGTGACTGAAATGCCTGAGAAATACAGACTCTTACACTTTGGGAATGATTTAAGACTCTTCTTGCTGGGTGTGGTCCAGGACAACCAAGGCTACACACAGAAACCCTCTCTCAAAAACCAAACAAACAAACAAACTCTTCTAAAAGTAAGCTGCTGCCCCCAAATGTAAATTCTACTGTTTTACTGTCATGGGGGTTAAGACTTTCAGATGAGTAATGAGAGCATTAGGGAAGATCCTAACAATGATTCAGAAGCTCAGGATTTCAGACAAGCAAGGCCCCAGAACATCATCTTCACAGATGGCTGCAGATTTGCCTGAGCCTGGCCTGAAGCAGGACCTGAGTGGGTGTTCTGGACTGCTTCTTCCCTGTGGAGTTCATCCTTACGGCAACTCTACTTTCTTAGATGATCTTGTCTGTACCTTCTACAGAATCAAAAATATTAGAAGGATGTGATCATAAAAATTATTTTTCTCTCATGAGTTTAAAGGGTTGAACTAAAAAGCCCTTGGTAGTAAACCAAGGTGATGAATTTATGTCTTTTGCTTTTAAAACAAAACTTCAACTCCTAGAGAGGCACTTACGTTTCTTGAAATCTTCGAGGTTTCAGCTCATGATTTTTTGTGGCCTGGTAGGGTAGGGCAAGAGGGGCCTGTGTCTAGTCTTCCTGGTTTCCCACATGCTTTTTTGTGCCAACAGAGACAACTGTCAATATCCATTCACAGTAATTTCTCCATCCCTACCTGCACTGTGGGCTGGCTGTGACTTCTTCCTATGCATTTTAACTTCTTTTTCTTTACTGAAGTGCTGGCAACGGCCCCAAGGCTCTCACGTGTTAGGCAGGAGCTCTATCACCAAGCTACACCCCTAGCCCACTTCCTATGCCTTTGTGCTTTTCCTTGCCAATCAAATCACTCCCTGCCATAGCTACTGAAAGCCAAGAAAACAGAAGGAAAATCATACTGTCTGCAGGCGACTGGCATGCTGAGCTGCTGGGAGGATTACGGCCTTCCCCCACCGGAATCTTTTGTGTCTACCCTTGGCAACCAGGAAAGTAGAAAACTTTGGCAAAGTCAATGAAATTAAAGTTTTCAACAAGAAGGAGAAGGAAGAAGAGGAGGAGGAGAAAGAATAAAAGGAGAGGAGACTGCCCTAATTCATCATACCTCCTCTACTAACCCACATTTAAAGCAAATGGGAAACCTTCTTACTCAGTCTGGCCCAGGCATCTTTATTAATGATTTTATTCAGGTGCCAACTCTTCAGACAAACAGCAACAGCAAACATGTGCTGCCTTGTGTCACACCCCAGTCTCAGCCTTTCACAGTGAAAATAAGCTGCCACTATTAGGCAGGTAGAGCCATACACTGAACTCCTAGGCCCCCACATTCAATAATTATTTCATGATGAGTAAACGTGAGAAGTGCTCAGTGATTCAATATATATCTAAGGTTTCCATTGACCTAGCTTCACATACCAGCAAGCTCTCAACCATATGAAACTCACCAAGTAAACCATGGTGTAGTTGGTTCAGGCAGTGGAGGAAACAGTTTGGTTCTGAGTGACTTCAACAAGTGCCAATCACTAAACCATTAAAGGACAATAAGGGTTACACTCTGGGACCATGTTCCAATGTATCTATAGACACAGGTGGTGGATTCCCCCCAACGCGGGGGAAACAAATGAATCCAATAAGCTGAGCATAGAACAGCAGCAGCCTAAGCATAAAAGCAAACATCATTCAAAACAGAAACCTACAAGGAAAGCACTGTTCCGACCCTTTGGATGTAGCTGGCATTTCTCCTAGGAAAACACTAACGTACTCTCAAAAGGGTTACTGCTCTCCTGACCATCATTAAGCAGCTCTGGTCAACTACTAAAATGATTAAGTATCAATGCTGAGCCACCACAAACACCTTGATTCAACTTAGTGAACCATAAACCAAACAGACCATTATTCTGTCAGGTTTTCTCCTCCAGTAAAGGGGCAAGAAAACTTGATAAGAGTCATGAAGCTTCTCAAAAGGCAAAAGGGACATAAAAGCCACACAAATATTAGACTTACGAGGGTCTCCAGGACCAAAGACCTTTGAGGAGTGGTTGGCAGGAGATTCTCTAGGTTTAGTGACAGCTCCCTGCACCAATACCACCTCTTCTCTTGCCTGGATATCCAAGGAAGCCTCAGTTTCCAGGAAGAGGACTCAGTTGTCTTCCCGTAATACACAAATCTACAGTTTTAGGGACCAAAAAATGTCTAGGCAATTAAGACTACTCTTAGGGGACTACTTTTATCTCAACCAAAAATCCAAATTACTTTCACAAAACCCTTCCCTTTAACAAAATAATCCACTTTAAAACAAGTTATGACCTATCAGGTTAAAAGCTCCCAATGGATGGATTTCCAAAATAAATTCATTTTTATCTAATACTGCAGTCAGAAGTTTTGTTTGCTAGTGCTTCTAAATGGTGTGGCAACAGGCAACAGTGGCATATGAGGCACTAGGTATTACATCTCACCTTGCCTCCTAGTCACTTGTGAGGTTAAGTTCTAATGCAGGGCCATAATTGCTGTCTGCTATTCTGAAACCAAGGAAGGTCTAAATTGCAAGAGTTTTTCCATAACATACTTGACAGCAAGACTTAATGGAGCTGAACTCATCTGGAGGCAAAGCAGCTGTGGGCTAACAGAAGGCTGTTTAGATTTTAGTTATCCCGGTTAATGTGAATATCCACACGGTTTGCCACATATATTTGAATGTATGTGATTACTGAGCATGGCCCCAAGTCCCAACGATTACTTAACACCATAATACTTTCCTAACTCTCCCTACCCCACAATCGAGGCCTAAAACATTCGACTCCAAAGGTGTCTAGGTTTCTACTATCAACACATTTCACATATAAGAAATTCAGACTTCCAGGGAAAGCAACTTGCCCAAAAGGCCACCCAGTAGGCAAGGGTGGAACAGACTCTGAGGCTGGGGCCTCCTTCAGGGCTAGAGCTCATGAGCCCATGGTGCTGTGTCCACAGAGATTCAGAGGAAAGACTGCTTTACCAACTAGGCTCTTCTCCAGAACCAGCTATCTGAAACTCACGAAACACATAGGTGGAAAACACCAACCACAATGATAGGGATATAGAAGGCCTGATGCTTACCTTGCCCAGGACAGTGAGACAAGGTTTGGGATCCAATTCTGGCTGTTCGAGCTTCACCACTCCTACCCAGCCATATTCATACAAGTCTTCTTCATCATTGTTATTACACAGGCCCAGTGGGTGCATCTAAAAGACAAAATAGAAAGAAAATGTCAACAGGCTGGCCATAGACTGACTTGACTCACTTCATGCGTTCCTCATTGTAAACTAAGCCAAAGTCACCTCATAATTTCAAACTTTAAGGCAGGGAAGTTTTTCTATTCACAGGGAATTCCATCTTACTACAATGAGCTGAGCTTTGAAGAAAACACAATTAAACCCCTAGAAATAGATATTATATGGGCTGGAGAAATAACTCAACACTTAAGAGCACTGGCTGCTCTTCCAGAGGACTTAGGTTCAATTCCCAACATGCACATGGCGGCTCACAACTATCTTTGACTCCATTTTCATAGGATCTGGCCTCTAAAAGCCAGATACAGGCAGATATAACATCTATACCCATAAAATAAAATTAAGTAAAAAATATATTGTATATGCATATATGAACACATTCATGTGTGTGCACATTTGTGCATGCACACGGAGGCCAGAGTTTGATGTCAAATGTCTTAATTTCTCTCCACCTTAGTTTTTTTGAGACAAGGTCTTTAAAGTGAACCTGGAGCTTTCCAATTCCACTGGAATGGCTGGCCAGTAGTCTCAGGGATCTTCCTGTCTAGTGCTGCGATTACAGGTATATATGACTATGCTTGGTTTTTACATGGCACTGGGGATTGAATTCAAATCCTCATGTTAGCACAGCAAGCATTTTACAGTCTAAGCCATGTCTCCAGCCCCTATAAACACGTTTTATGGCTGCTTTCTTTCTGCCTTGAAAGTAATAGTTGTCTAAGGTGGAAGCCACCTGGTAAGAGGTAGACAGAGAAAGCAGCTCATATAAATGCCAATCTAAATTGCTATGAAATAGCATAAATCTAACAGTAAGCAATTGTAAATGAAACTAACCAGGATAGTTATCCTGTTTGGCTTCTAGGTCTTAAAGTCACATTAATTATGCATAAGGGCCTACAAACACATTCAGGACTTAATGAAAGACCTGGAAATGTGGCAAATGGTCAGTATAATTAGCAGGCTATTTAAAGACTACAAATGGTTACTGCAAAATAGACAACATTCTTTGAAGTCTTTTCAAAATCTGTTACACAGCACAAAATAAAAACTAAGTAGAGAACAATCAGCTTATTTTCGCATATAAAAACTTGGAAACCACAGAAATCCCAAAGTCTATGCTTACAGTTCTATCATTGACTTGTATCAAGCTATTCTGTAGCAATTTCTTCCCAGGTTCTTTAAGAGCAAGTAAATTCTAAAAGGAAGCTCATAGACTAAGATCAGAAGGAAGGAGAGGAGGACCTCCCCTATCAGTGGACTTGGGGAGGGGCATGCATGAAGAAAGGGAAGGGAGGGTGGGATCGGGAGGGGAGGAGGGAGGGGCTTATGGGGGAATACAAAGTGAATAAAGTGTAAAAAAAATAAAAAAAACTTACAAAAAAATAAAAATAAAAAAAACTCAGAAGTTCTAGGGCTGGAGAGTTGTCTCAGTGGTTAGGTTACTTGTTGCTCCTACAGTGGACCAGGGTTTGATTCCCAGCATCCACATGGCAACACACAGTCATCTTTAACACCAGTTCCTGGAGATCAACATTCTCTTCTAGCCTCTGTGGGCACGCACATGGTGCACATACATGCAAGCAAAACACACATACAAATAAAATAAATAGAGACCTTTGAAATGAAAAAGAAAAAGATTCAGAGGTTTTAAAGATAAGATCATTAAGATTCTGGAAGTAAATTTTAGAGTCTCAGGAAGTCCATGAAACTAACTAGATGCACAAGGCATTTCCCTCTCCAAGCTTATGTAAATCCTAAAGACTACCAAGAACAGAGAGACCTAGCAGAAACAGACCTGTCCCTCAAAGTCCCAGACTAGCTAAGCGGCCTGGCAGAGATTCCCTCTGACCTGAAGAGTTGCCTACAAGTCAAGCAATGTGCTCCAGGATTCCAGCTTTTATCAGCCATCATCAATGTTAGAGGGCAAGCTTTGGTGATGTGGCTGTCTTTAAGTTATTCCTGCTCCTGTACACAGCCCCTCATCCATTCTCCTGTAAGTGACCCCGAAAAACTCACTGTTTTGTCAATACAGACCTAGGTGGCATCTGTCTTTGGTCTGTCCTTGATTCCCTATCTGGGGTGAGCAGACATTTGTTTAAAACTCTCCAAGGAATAGTGTCATAAACACAGGTTCCAGAGCCCAAGAATAATCTGGAAAGAGGAAATTCTCATAGATAACTTAGCAAGTTTTAAGCCTAGCACTGTATGTGCTATCCTCTCTCCTTTAATATTTACTTACTTACTTATTTATCTACTTATTTATCTACTTATTTATCTATTTATCTATCTATCTATCTATCTATCTATCTATCTATCTATCTATCTAT